GAAAATTCAAAGTCCTTGATGGCCTAGTTGGTGACATTCCTGTTAAGTCCCTCCCCTTCTGTGTCATCTGCACCATGGTGTGGGAAGCAGGTGAGGCTGCTCCCTCAGAGAGCCCATGCCTGTCATAGGGATCACTAAACTTCTCACCCCAATCTCTTTTACTAAGATAATGCAGATTTCACATAGTGTCTGTTTAACCTCAGCTTTCACTATGCTATCAGGAAAGACAGGGAGACAGCCCACTGAAGAAAAATTTATAAAAACTAAACACACACTCTGCAAGAATAAGTCATGATATAGTACCATTCCTTCTCCCAGCTCATCCAAACCAAATATCCCTCTGAATCATATTGTCCACCTCATGGCTCAGGCTTAAAGATGCCATGTGAACAGCTGACCACAAATCAATAAGGGGTGTATGGTCTCTTAAACTATGCTACAGCTTTATCCAACATTTTAAAAAATAGTTATTAATTAATTTCGCAATTTGTAGGCGAATGCTGCCTCATTTTTTTAATGATCAATTCCTGGTAACTACCAAGGTAATTTTGCTTATAAAAAACAGTTAGCACTGAATGCAACATCTTGCTGGAAGGAACCTACTGTCATGAGTTTAACATGGGAGTTTTAAAGACTGTACTAGGAGCACATTTCTTCTTAAGAAGTATTCAGATCAACAGTTTTAATGTAGAATACTCACTGTGGACTTCAGCATAAATAAACATTTTTACTGCCTATGCATGCTGCAGATAAGAACTCTTTTATTTATAGGCAAGTAATTCCTGAAAGAATTCCAGAACCTCAGAACTAGGGCTCTTCTGTGTAGTTCAGTGTCCCATTTCTGTTCATTAGTAGAGTCATACTTGAATACCAAAGCTCTCGACAAAAAAAAAAAAAAAAGCAAATATTTAGGGTACAGGCTCCTTTATCAGAACAGAGAAAGAGATTATTTTGTGTGTTAATAGGATCTTAAACTCTTCGATCTTAGTCTTTTTTTTGCATTAAGAACTTAATATAACGATAGGTGGTTGTTGGTACTTCACATGAGAATCTTTGCTCAAGTCAGAATTAACAAATCCTTGCTAAAAGAAAACAATGCAAATCTATATTTTTTGCTACTTGAAGGTTTGATTTAAACTACAGATCTTCTGTAGGGGCTTTGATACAGACCCCTACAACATTCTTGTCATTAAACTGCAGATAAGGGTTTGATGGATGGACTGTTAGAAGGATAAGAAATTATCTGGATAGCCACTTCTGAAGAGATACAGTCAATGGCTCAGTTCCCAGTGGAAACTAGTAGCAAGTGGTGTCCCTCAAGGGTCTGTACTGGGACCAGTACTTTTTAATGTGTTCATCAATGGCATAGACAGAGGGATTGAGTGAACCCAGAGCCAATGCAGATGACACCAAGCTAAGTGTTGCAGGTGGTTTGTTAGAGGGAAAGGATGCCATTCAGAGAACCATGATAGACTTGAGGAGTGGGCCCAGGAAAACCTCATGAAGTTCAACAAGGCAAAGTCTTGCACCTGGGGTGGGGCCATAACCAGTAGCTGTACAGGTTAGGGGATGAAGGGATTAAAAGCAGTCCTGCAGAGAAGAGCTTGGGGTTATTGTTGGATGAGAAATTGGACATGAGCTGGCAATGTGCATTTGCAGCCCAGAAAACCAACCATATCCTGGGCTGCATCAAAAAAAAGTGTGGTCAGCTGATCGAGGGAGACAATTCTCCTCCTCTGCTGGGCTCTCATGAGACCCCACCTGGAATACTGCATCCAGCTCTACTTTTGGTCTTACTGTGAGAGGAAAACAAAGTTTAACACCAAAGCCTTTCACTACAATTAAGAACTGTTTCTATGTCAGGGCATCTAAAATTTTAGAACTGTGTATGTGACAGACACCAATAAGACTAATGCAAGTATTTACCGGTGTTTTCAGATAAATCAAACAGAAAGGATACAAGGAGCACAGTACTAAATGTTACAAGGTAGCTCCATTATCTACACCAGCATATCCTCAAATGAAAATTATACTTATTTGCTTTTTCTAGTTAGACAAAAAGTGAGACTACATGAGTGAGTGTATTAGTTCAGATCTACAGAAAGTTAAAAATTAGTTAAGGGCACTTTTGAGCCATGGAAATAGGCTCTCTATTAATAAGAGTTAAGTAACCTACAAACTCTTCTATATCCTGAAAAATCTGGGGCATGGGTTTTTTTCTTGCTTTTCTATTTGTTTTCTCAGATCATGTCTTGCTCTAATAATTATTTGTATATGTAAGCACCTGCTGGATAAAACTGTACACAGAAACCTTGAGAATGGTTCTGTCATTATGTATGTAATATTTACCAGCAGATTCATATCCCAATTACAAACTATACCTAGTATATTATTTTGCTCTATGTGTCATTTGATGAGGTCAATAGAACTCACCTATTTCCACCACTTCACAATATCCAACCTATACACCAAACCTACCTTCAAAACAGTGGACTTCAATGGCTAAAATAATCTTAACTTCCAAACTTACATGCACAATACAACTTTTTGAGAATTTTCTTGTGAAAGAACACACTTTCACAACCTCTAGTTGACATACAAGACTAACATTGTATTTTAAACTGTCTTTATAGAATAATCTTTATTCAAGTGTGACTGAAAGGATTTCAAGATCATTTGTACTACTTTGTATTCTTAATCTATGTTGATTTCTCACATTAGAAGAGAAAAGCCTTGAGTTTTAAGTGTGCATGATGTTGTTTCAGTTCCACAAATTAACTTTGTTGTATAGTTTTGAAGAGACTGTTCTCATAATCTCTTTCAACATGTGAAACTATATCAAAAAAAACAAAGTCAGCAGAAATACTTTACCTCTGCTACTATTTCCAAGCAAAACACTAACACATGCAGAAATTAACAGAAACATTTGCTAAAATGTCTTCAAGAATACTACCCACTAATTCAATTCATCATGACAGATGAAACCCAGTATGGTTCTAACACAAAACAAAGAGCCACACATACCACAACATTACATGCACATAGAGAACAAGCCAGCTGCAACAGAATAGCTACCCCTCCCTTCCTTCGCTCACTACAAACCTTAGTCTGGAGCCTGCTACCTAGTTATACGTTAGTCCATTTTCAGTATTATTCCGAAGGAACAAAACACACATGCACACACACCAGATTCTGATGCCATATGCATATACACACTTTCCCAAATATAGACATATAATGTAGTCTGACCACTACCACTATATATACTACTACTAGCTTAATGATCATCAAGAGTTGTCATGTCTTTAATAGAGTTGGTTTCTTTCACTAAGAAAAACATAAGTTATTTAGAGCTACATGAGGAAACACTACTGGATATATCCAAATACTAAAGTCAAAATATTTGTATCAAAAAATCAAAACTGGACTAATACACACAACTTCAAAATCTGTACTCATTACAGTTAGTACAGCAAGAGAAGGAACAAGCTTCCTACAAAAATAGATACAAAAAGGAATTATTTAGTGATAGCTACATGAAATAATATTGAGAGCTTATTAGATGCAAGAACAACAAACTCAAATTTCATATATATAATTCTGTGTGAGATCTAAAAAGCTCCACAGGGAAAAAAGAAAAAACACAACACAAAGTCAGTTTGTTTAAATAACATTGCCTAAACTCTCACCACAGTCACGGCGACTCCACTCCTAAGCAGTGGAAATTTTCTTTCACTCCCTTCCAAAATATTTTACTTTAATCCCTAAATATGATTTCCTAGGAAAGTACTCCCATCTAATTAGACAGCAAAAATGAAATAGATAGGTTAAAATAAAACTTTGTCTTCCCTCTGACTTTATAACCTTACATAACAAAGTTTTCTGCTGTTATAACATTATAACAAATTATGAGTTTTCATGTCAGTCACAAACACATAGCTCATAATATCTGTTAGAATGAGATAGAAAGTGATGCTTTACTATCATTTTCAAGCTAACATAAAATATGTGCTTTAACACCTCAGTTGCATTTATACAAATGTCCTGTAACTCACTAAAGTGCTAAGTCTCATCAAGTTAGTATTATTTCCATAGTTCTATTTTGCTGGCACCAACCTCACAACAAGACACAGCACAGAAATTTTAAAAAGTCACAACTTGGACTATATTATATTGAACAAGTCTCATGACAACTACAGCTTAGGAAAGCATGAATTCAAGAACTGCAAACTTGCAGTTTCTGCTTCCTTCCATAAGAGTTTCCTGTAGATATCTTCCAGAATTGTCTAACACTAAGTCATTTTGTTTATCAATTATTTTGGCAAAAACTCCTACTGCTAAGTGACCAGTCAGTTCTCCAAATGCAGTGTGCTATTTCTACTTGCTCCAGATTTCCACTTGGGATACAAAGCTGTTTGATTCTGTGACACACTCTCAGCACTTGTATTTACTATTCAGCAGTTAAAATCCAATACACAAAAGGAACAGTTAAATTGTCTGACAATACATCTGTTTTCACATTAACATGTCAGCATTCAGATGAGACACAGAACTACTGTATCAATTCGTGAACATGAACAAAGCTCACTGTGCAGATGAGAAGCAACACTTCCATGCCTCATTGTTTTTCAGGTTCATATTTCTAAGCATGAGAATCATAATTATACTGCATGCTCTTCCATTATCAGGCATTAACACTGAATACAGCTGATTATACTTTTTTTTTTCCTCCAGAGATTAGTCCAGTAGGAAGAAATAATGTAAGGAAAAAAAGAACAAGAAGTCATCTGACACTCTATGTATTAGTAGGATTTATGCAAATTGCCTATTACAAGCATGAATACAAGCATTCCATTATATTCTCTTTTTCTTTCGCAAGATCAATTTTAAATGTGGAAAGGATTAGATCCTAACCAAACCATCTGGCAGAACAGTTCATCCAACAGGAAAATTTTGTATGTATTCAGATGTAATTCATGGCTCCTATAAAAGATACTTACCAAGACTTGTATTGGGGCCAGCAAGTAGCTGCTTAAATTTGTCTAACCGAGACGCTTCTCTTTCAGTTAATGCAGGAGTAACTGAGGTATTAGAGTCTGCCATTCCACTCAAAGGAGGTGAAGAAGTTTGTGGAAGTGACTGCGATCTCTGCATGGAAGAATTTTCATTCGCAGTATCTGAAGGGAAAAAGAAAAATATCAGTCGGCCTCAGCTAGTGAGAAGGCTACTAATAACTTGTCTTTTTCATTTGGAAATTTAAAATAGAATTATGCTTTGGAGAAATGTAAGTTCAAGTATAGCATGTTTGGATTTCAACATACTTGGATTTAGCAGGATAAGCATTCCTCCTCCAAGCAGCATTACACAATTAAAACATGTTAATTAGAGATCAAGGCTTAAAAAATAAGACTAGGAAATAATTGCAACTTGTTACTTTAAATTGTATGCATAAAACACACACCAAATCACATGAGGATTAACTTCCCAGTCCACATACATTGTTTTCTCCAGTTTTTCAACATATTTTATATAGCAGCATTTTAATAACAATTTTTTACAATACTAGGAATACTATTAATTGCATACATCTTGATGCAGTTAACTATTAAAATACATACAATAGTGCAATGTTATCCCCAAACTGAGGGCAGACTAAAGCTAAAAACAAAAGTTTATTCTTCCCTCACCCGTTTATTTCTCACATGGGAAATACCCCTGGTGTTTCTTTACTGTTTAGCATGGCATGCAGTATCCCCCTCAAATTAATTAATATATTGATTAATAATAGTTTTCTGTGATATTAGGAAAAGTCTGGGAAGGAGCTAACATCCTAAAGGGCAAATGAAGCTCTTCTAACTCAATATTTAACTTTTTTTTTTCCATTTCTTAACATACCTGATGAACTTGGTGTATGACCTTCGCTGACTGATTTAACAAGCCTATTATCACCACAAGCAACTGAAGTCGGCTCTGCAGATTCTACTTGTTTTTCTTCCTGTAGATGTTCTTCCTGAAATTTATGCTGTTCTTGTAACTTGCTGTGATTCTGAATTACTTTGTGAGCCGTTTCCATGACCACTTCCGTATTTAAGTTTTCAGCTGCTATTGCTAATAGTTCATCATCATCATCTCCAAGATCCCAAGCATCACTTGTGTTACTTTCAAATTCTTGGAAGGTGCTGACTTTCTTTAGTTTCACTGGAGTTGTCGGTGGCTTTGAACCTGGTTTTATCAAGCTGTTCAAAAACAAATAATATTTAGAGAATGGGTAATGGAGTAAGCAAAGCACTATGGATAGGACCAAAACAGATTTCTCTCTCTCCACTCATGCTCCTGCTACATCCCAAGATGACATGCAGCTGAATATGTCTCATAACAAGGGCAGGTAAAAACTTTGAATAGAGGCTGAACCACTGATTCCTTCCTTTGTTTTTAAAAAAAAAACAAACAAAAAAAAACAAAACAGAAAAACCCCAAAAACCTAACTGAAAATAGACCAACACGTAAAGTTAAAGGAATACTACAGGACACACTGCACTTCTCTTGCTTCATGAATTTCTGTACATAATTCAGACCTTTTGATACAATTGCTGCACAACTGCACAGGGGCAATAATCAGGTCATCAGATCTGCTCTGAAGTCTTGTAAGCAATCAGGTAATGCAACCACCAGCATAAACAAATCAAGTCACACCTTAAAAGTTAGTTCTGTCATTCCTCCCCATTCAGTCACTTCAGCATGTATTTGCTTCAGTACTTTGCTCTTTTGATAGGCAGGATATTTCATCTAGTTACTAGTCTAAATGAACCCTGATCAGCTCCTAACCTTTTGTCGCTCTGTCAACATGCAATAGAGATAAACCAAGTATTTCTCCCTAGGTTGGCACTTGTTCTCAAGTTACAATAAAGCAGAGAAATCACATTTCTCTTCAGATTTCAGATAAATAAGGCATTAAGATGCATTTCCTAGTCTGCTATCAAAAGAGTTACTGACATTAACTTAATTGCCTTTTCTGATCATTCCTGTCTTTCCACCTGTAATAGTTTAATGCTTTGTGTTGAGACAAAGCAGTCAGAATTGCAAATAAGAAATAGTTCTCACAGTCTTCACACAATGTCAGTAATGCTTGTTATGTATGAAATGCATTACAGGGAATGTCTTCCGTAACATGTGCTACAACACTAACACTTTCATAGAATCATAAAATCCTTTGGGTTGGAAGGGACCTTAAAGATCATCTAGTTGCTACGCTCCTGCATTGGCAGGGACACCTCCCACTAGACCAGGTTGCTGCAACCCCCACCCAGCCTGCTTTTGAACACTTCAAGGGATGGGGCATCCACAACTTCCCTGGGCAACCCATTAACAGTGCTTTACCACTCTCATAGTGAGGAATTTCCTCCAAATGTCTAATCTAAATGTCCCCCTTCCAGTTTTAAACCATAACCCCTCACCCCATCACTACATGCCCTTGTAAAAAGTCCCTCCCAGCTTTCCTGTAGACACCCTTCAGGTATTGGAAGGCCACTAGACTCTCTTCCCCTGGCTGAACAACTCGTCATCACTGTCTAAAACAGTATTTCTCCTGATATGGTTTCAGGCAATAAGCTTCTAGTTTTGTTACTGGATCTGTCTTTACAACTCCGTATTTTGAACCAGTTCATTCCATTCCTTTTTCTTCAGTACTTGAGGTCACATGTTTCAACTACTGTCAACTTTGTATCATCTGAAAACTTACTAGCACACATTTATTTCTTGTGCCATTTCAAATCAGCTTTTGAAAAACTCCACTAGAAGTACTACCTCCTTCCAAGCCAGTACTTTTCTTTCTAACGTTATTTTTGTTCTTAGCACTTTGGGACGTTCGTTTCATTGGTCATATAATTTTCCCAAGATTCTCACATAGACCAACTTTTAACAGTAATGCTGGTTTCAAAAGAGCTGTGAAATCTAACCAACCAAAAACAACTCTGTTCCAAACAAAGCATAAAACAAACTGTCCTTTTCTCTAAAAAAACCCCAACAAAACAAAAACAAAACAATAAAGCAAAATATAAAAAGCAGAAGCCAACAGAATGCAGCATTTTGCTAAACACCTCAGGTATAAAGAGATGAAAATCATTCACTTGCATTAGTTTTGGATTATCACCATGAAAGCTATTTGGTTACTAATAATGTTTAACATAATGTTGCCACTTTCATGTACCTTCTTTTCTAACAACTAATAATCATAATCTAAGGCAATAGATGTTTAAATTACTGTAAAATCTATTCTACCTACTGTTTTCCCACCTATCTTTGCCTCAAAACTTTCTACACTATGATGACCCAATTCTTTTTTAGATAAGATACATAAAGCCAGTACATCCACAGAAAGAGATATGCTGTAAAGCCACTTATGCTTGAGTTGGCAGCTTCATCTGCTAAACTGAGGTTAGTATTTACCCCACAATTAACAATTTATAAGGCATTGCAGACAGATATTAAAAGTTGGCAACCTATGTCAGTTAAGAACTGAATAGCTTACAAATACGGTAAGCATCAGGAAGTTACAAAAGGAAGTTAGAACAGAGAAGTCGAGATCATGACAAAAATTGAAAAAGGAAGATTAACCATAAGCTTTATAGCCAAGAAGAGGAGAGAAGGCAGAAGAGACTCAAGTTATCTTGAATATTTAAATAATAGATTAACTTACGTTCCATGCAGTAATGGATCAAAAGGTGGATGCTGAGCTCCATACACATGTTGGATACTAAAGGAAAAGAAAAAAGTTATCATTAAAAATAAGAAAACATTTGAGGGTTTGCTGTGTATTAAACACAGTCCATAATAAACGAGACTAAAATGTTCCAACAGTTTCCCCATTTCAAAGAACCCCATATATCACGAAAAATAATAAAGATGAAATTGCAGCGCGTGCTAAAAAGTAACTTAATAAAGATCACAGATTTGCCAAACAGGTGGTCTTTTTAAGGCAAAGGCTAACTTCAGTTGACTTATTTTTCTCACCAAGAACTAAAACAACAGAATAGTTCACTCCATAATAAGAAACTATACTCCTTTTAAATTCTCTTTTTTGGTTTATGATTTCTTCATTTATCTCTTGAACAAACAAAAAAATTCTCAAAGAAACCTCTGCAAAGATTGACTCTTCCATGTACCTTTATCACCTAAAATCCAACCAGTCATGTCTTAACCATTACTAAATTACAAGACTGAGAAACGTAAAAATATGCAGAAGATGGTACTTTAAAGAATAAAAGACATAGGAGTAACAAAAACAAGATTTTAAAAAAGCAAGAATGTGACTGTGTGAATAACAGAACTCTCTACAGACTAAAAGTTTGCTTCCTCCCAGCTTTTAGTTATAAAACTATCTCATGAGTAAAAAACCCCATAGAAAACACATCAGGATTTACAGGTCGCTTCATAATGAAAATTATTACTATAAAACTCCTGATTGCAAAGGGAACAAATAATATGGAACATTAACATGTACTAAAAACCATGTAATAGAAGACAAACATGCCCTCCTCACAAAATTAAAATCCATGTCCAGGGCATAAATATAACTAAATCCAACTTCAGTAAACCTGAAATATAATCCAAGCCAAAAGGACTGCAGTCATAAACTTTTAGAGGTTTAGACTTATACTACAGGGACAGTATTAACAGTCGTAAAATTAACATTAGAGATGCCCAAATGTGGTGGTTTATAACCTCCATCAATTTTTATGTGATTCCATGAAAACAAATAAGTCAGTCCACCACCAGTCTTCTATGTGACTGAACACCACATGCTCCAGTCAAGCCTCTGTGTTCTCCTACTCTACACTCACATGAGGCTCAGGCTATCACCACATTTTGACACACAGACAGAATCTGCCTTATCCTTCACGTTCTCTATGAATGACCACAATGGGAACCCACCCAAATTAAAGCAACAACAGCAATCCTCTCCAAGGCATTAACAAAAAAACAAAGCACATTCTGTAAAGTTCCTCATTTTTCCACATACCTGCAGTTGCCCACAAGTTAATTAATTACAACTATTCATGGACCTTGTGTAATTGAAAAGGGTCAAAAGTGGTTTACCCACCAACTCATCAAAGTTAAAAAAAAAGAAGTTCAGAGAGACAAGAAAAGTTGCACTGAAACAGTTAGCCCTTAGAGACAGAAAACCACTACCAGTTAGTGCTTATGGGTAACTGAGAATGGAAGAAGTTTGTTGTTCACACCGCAGGAAGAAAGAGGAGTATCAATCACATCATTATTTGGATTGGAAAAAACCTTTAATATCATCAAGTCCAACCGCAAACCCAGCACTACCACTATTAAACTAAAGCAGAAACTGATATTTTGAAGTATGAAGCAGAAACTAAAATACGGTTATACGTTTATAAAGTGCAGCTTCCTGCGCAGCACTTAAAAACACCGTAACTTCTCCCAGTCCCAGACCCACGAGCAGCGAACGCCCGGCCGGGCCGCCCGGAGGGCACAGGGCCGACAGGGCCCCGC